TACGACAACCCCTGCCGAATCGTCTCCTCAAACACGACCAGCCTCTATGTGTTTCACAGAACGATGCTGAGGTACCCTGATCGTAAATGAAGTGGAGTGAACTTACTCACCACTTTGCTTTCGATTACTTTCTCTTCGTTATCCCACTCCAGTTCCACATCGAAATATTGCGCTGCTTTCACATTCCTTTCTGCACAGTACAGCAAATGTCCTTCACCATGAGAGAATTTTAGAAAACCAAAAGGAGCTGAAATCACTTGCTTCTTTCAACACATTTTGGCATAATGCCTCGAGTCTCACAAGCTTCAAAAACGTACACTAAGTAGGGAAGGTCGTCAGGTCGAAGTGGCTATTTGTGATGAAATGTAGATCACTAGACGTGGTTTTAGACGCTGATCTTGAATCTACCTCAGAACCCATTTGGCCAAGAGCGATCTCTACGCGAGTTACAGTGCCGCGGTGTTTAACCTACGTATTACAGTCATTGGATTACACGGCTATCCCTGCCTGAGCTCAACTTTTTTGCCTTGTTGCTGTCACACCCATCACGGGGCAAAAGTGATTTTGCTCCCCGTCACTACTAGCTGTCGAGTTCTCACCTGAGCTTTCTCTGAGAAAGAGTTTTGCCTTCCATTTATTACTGCAGCTTCTGTGCGCCTCCTGTGTGGACGTGCCAGTGTGCCTACCTAGTGCTTGACATAGAGCAGTTCATCCCTCCCGTCACCGACTAATAAATTGATGGCCAACTTTCTCGTAACAGACAAGCTAGGGTGAGAACTGACCAAGTAGTAGTAAAAGAGTCCGGCATAAATCACTTTTTGCACGTTTGTGTTGTCGCACATACAAGCAAAAAAGTTAAGGCTCTAGCGAGGGGATTCGATCCCATTACCTGAGTTGTGTGCGTAAGACGCGGCCCTATAACTCGAGTTCAGAGAAGTGCGCTTTGCATATTTGAAGCGTTAGATTTCAAGTATCCAGCGTCCAAAGAGCCACGTCTACCTGCGATACTACATCTCATCACAACATGGCCACTTCGACCTTGACGACCTATCCCTAGTAAGATCCGAAACATTGAGTCCGTACAACATAGGCGTTGAAGGGGGGTAACGGTTAGCGGCCATGCAAAATGGATGCCCCGCGGTACCTTTCTCATTCCCACTGGCGCACCAATCAAACAGTCGCCGCAGAGGCGTGACGAGGTAGATGAAGAACATGTTTAAAAGGTTTCGAAATAGAGACTGTTACGATATATAAGAGTTGCATGTATCTATGCAGACTCTGTGCCATTGTGTCCACTATGGAAGTGTTGGTGTAAATTCGCAGGGAACATTTAGGGTGGTGCTCTTTCTATTAAACCGAATAGAAATGCCGCTATCTGTGATCACATACACTGCGAAGCAATCATAGTTCCACCCATTGAATCTCACAAAATCCTGTCTTACACGTAGTTTTCCAAAATGCTCCCATACAGAAAATGTGGTAATTAGCACTACCAATTCGCATGCCTACAACAAAGACCAATTGAAAAAAAAAAAATTTTTTTTTCGTCAATTTTTTCAAAAATGGTCGTTCTGACAACGCAGCAAAAGTATAGTTCCACCGAACAAATCGAATATTCCAACAACAAGTGTACAATAAAATGAATAAATTTTGATCCAGTAATCTATTGGAACTCTATTTCTCCAATTAAGTTGGAAAATACGGTTGCCCATGTTCGATTAGAGATTTTAATAGGCTTTCGGCCGACTGCCCCAATGATTACTCCCTAAGCTCACGGACATTGTGGAATTGTGCATTACTCTCATGGATCATACGCATGAAGCCCCTCACATCCTCGATTGGGTTTTAGTCGGGGCTACTCGCTGGCCAGGGCAAAAGAGCGGTTTGGTGACAACTGAATCACGCTCGAGTGCTTCGACTGTCATGAACTGGTGCATTATCCTGCATGAAAACGGGACTTTCTTGCTGATTTCTACGCCAGAAAGCAAGGAGACGTTGTCGCGTGACTTTTAGATGACGGAAGAAATCATTTCTTTTTTCATACGGAGCGCAGTTTCAGACGTTCCATTCATGCGCAGCCCAGACCATGAGACCACATCCACTGAAGTTCCGCCCGGAAAAATGAAACTTGTCTTCCCTCAGGTCGTGCCAGCGGAATCGGTTTTCGTCGGAGCCGTCGCAGTTGAATTTTTTCTCAGAAAACACGACCGCGAGAAAAAAAAACTGAAAAAACACTACAGACAAGCAGTAGGGCACCGCAGCCAAAAGCCAACCTCACTCCATTGGGTTCGGCAACATCTTCGAGCAAAGCCAATTAGGTTTTCGCGATGGTTTTTCGTTAGAAACAGTACGTAACTCATAATCGGTAATCAAAACTCATGGGTGAACTCGGGAGTTTTCCAAGACACGCCTAACAGTATCCTCCGAGACATTAACCTGCGAAGATGACTTAATTTCCCGACACGACACTGCAGAGTTGGATGCTTTCCTAAGGATACGGCGGTTATTCCGATCGGGCAGCAAAGGAGGATGTCCAGAGCTCTTCTCAACTCAATAGGCTGTAGGTCCCTTGATGTCGATAGAATGATGAGTGCAGCCCGAATCCCACGCGATTCGACGATTCACCAGTTTTTGAGTCTTCTTTGCGATCTGTCCTTTTTCGAGGTCCATTAATGAAGTTCCACTTGCCATAGCCTAGAAGAGGCAAGAAGTCATAATGATGAGAAGTTTCACCGAACAAAAATGAGATGCAGCCGGAAAATATGCGGTGGAACTATACTTTTGCTGCGTTGTCAGAACGACCATTTTTGAAAAAATTGACGAAAAAAAATTGTTTTTTCAAGCTAGAGTTTGGTGTTGGCATGCGAATTGGTATTGGTAATTACCACATTTTCTGTATGGGGGCATTTTTGAAAACGTCGTGTAAGACGGGATTTTGTGAGATTCATGGGTGGAACTATGATTATGCTTCGCCAGTGTATATAGGAGAGACAGGAAGACCGCTAGGTATACGAATAAACGAGCATCTAGCTGGTGTGGGGCGCGATCGGCTCATGACAGCGCTGGAGACGTAAATCTGAGTAGCATAAGGCAACAGCTTTATCTTTATCTTTATCTTCAGTTTAGATGAACAGCTTTGGAATTGAGTGTACAGTATTGGCGCTCTAAACGGAACTTTCGGCGGAAGAAGGTGTTAGAGGTGTTCTGGATACATATTGTAAATCCTAGGATGAACATCCGAGATGAGTGCCCGTCAATGACAAATGATCTGTTGCCGTTCATCGGGTCGTATATGGAGACGCTATAGTAAGTCTCATTTTCTACAGACTACTATCCGCATATATCTACGGGTTCACGGTAGAACCCTGCACTTTTCGCGTTGTGCAGGACTTTCTCCTAGAGTCCGAGCACGTCATCGAAAGTGCTAGAGTGACTGGGTGTTTAGTGAGGTAGTGCTCATCCCATAACCTCGAAACACGTTTAGGCCTCCGACAAAGAAGACCACGTCGAAACGTTAGGCGGTTAAATAGAGTTCTCCATCTAGAAACCTTGAGAGAAGGCAGTGTAAACAAAGGTACGGCCACTGTTCCCCGACTATTCCCCAAGATTTCTTTCATTGATGAACAAACGAATGATGGTGACTACCACGCAAGATTGCCTTCACCGATGAACAAAGGAAGGGTGAAATTATAAAGAGACATTGATAGAAGCATCGGTTAATGGACTTGGCATCTGCGTAGCGTCCTTTCTTGGTTGGAATTTGTGGCCCACAATAGAATAAGGTGGATGATTAATGTTGGCCGTGAACGATTACCAACTAGCTGATATTTTAGCTAACAAGGGAGGTCGTTCAGGGCGTGGTGCGCTTTTCGAAAACGGTTTTTTGCATATTGTAGGGGCTCATGCAAGGACCTGAAAAGTGTGCTTCATTTTCGCTGCGCGCTTCCAGGAAAGGTAAAAAACGAGTGAAAAGAAATCTTTGGAATCTGCTTCGTTCTGGGCCTCTACGGCGTAGGTCACTTGCAACTTTGACCAGTTGCTGAGTGGGGGGTCCTTATAAAGGGGCTATTTGAATCGAAGCGAAAAATCGCCGCAAATGAGCTTCCAACTTGGGTCACATTCAAGGGTGAACGGCTTCTTGCAATGGTTTCATCAACGGTAAGAGAGCTGCACAGATTGA